GCCTCCCCCCGTCCCGGGAGGGGTGAAGCCTGAGGCGCGAGAACCACCTCTGAAAATTTCTCATGTGGAGCAGGCCTAGCCGCACCACAGCATGAGCCGCTGCCATCATCCCCAGCAGGGACCTGAGGCGCCGAGCGGGAACTCTGGGGCCCGCCAGAACCTCCCGGGCCAGACGGGTAATATTCGTCCGTCTGTCCACGGACAATGCAGCACGGAATATCACAGAGTCTAGCTGCAGACCGAGGTAAATCATGCGTTGGGCTGGCTGCAGCTTGCTCTTCTCCCTGTTCACCACAAAGCCCAGACGCTGTATGTGGGACAAGACCCATTGCGTGTGGCTCACGGCCACTTCCCTGGATGGGGCCAGTATTAACCAATCGTCTATATAGGTCAATATTCTTACCCCGGCACGTCTGATCGGCTCCAGAGCCGCTTCTACACATTTGGAAAAAGTGCGAGGCGCGAGAGCGTACCCGAAAGGGAGACGGCAGTACTCGTAATTCCTCTCTCCCACTGCGAAGCGCAGAAATCTCCTGTGTTCTGGCACTATGGGTACGTGGAAGTATGCGTCTGTCAGGTCTATGGATGTCATCCAGTCTCCTTCCCTGACACACTCGAGGAGCTGCCTTGTGGACAGCATCCGAAACTGCCGTTTGGAAATGCACTCGTTTAACACGCGCAGATCCAGAATGGGACGCACCCCGCCTGATTTCTTTGGCACCAGAAAGTAAGGGGAGTACAGCCCCCTGGTGGCGTCCTGCGGGTCTACCTCCACTGCTGCGCCTCGACTCAGCAGGGAGGAGACCTCTGCTTCCAGTGCCTCTGTCGATCCCCGTACCTGAGAGCGTACTGCCCGTACGCCTCGGAATGGTGGTGGCTTTCGGAAAAATTGCAGAGCGTAACCTCTGCGCAGAGTTTTCTCCAGCCAAACATCTGACAGTAAGCCCTGCTCCTTCCAGATGTCGTAGAAATCTGTGAGGGGCGGAACGGGAGCTGGAACACGAGACGTCATGGCCCCGCCCCCTCCTGGTGTTCCTAGCAGGGAGGGGGGGTGGCTGAAAAGGCCGGGGGGGCCCCTGCGTCACACCGTGAGCGCCGAGGGCGGTCACGTGTTCTGCAGGTCCGACGTCATAAGTACGGGACTGCTCACCACACGTGACCCGGCTGCTGCTGCGCCCCCCCCTGGCTCTTGCCTCATGGAGGGGGGGGCGAGCCCCTGCATCGGGAAACCCCGTGTTAGCATTGTAGCTCTGCTCATCACGCGTGACACGGCTGCTGCGCCCCCCCTTGGCTCTTGCCTCATGGAGGGGGGGAAGAGCCCCTGGATTAGGAAACCCCGTGTTAGCAATGTAGCTCTGCTCATCACGCGTGACACGGCTGCTGCGCCCCCCCTTGGCTCTTGCCTCATGGAGGGGGGGGAGGAGCCCCTGGATTGGGAAACCCCGTGTTAGCCTTGTAGCTCAGAGATGCTAACACGCTAGCGCCCGGAGCACACACATTAGCACTTATCAGATCCCTCCGCCTGCCCTCTCTCCGGGAGGGCAAAACATGAACCCGTGAATCGGAGCTCGTGGTCTGCACAGCGCGCTGCACGCCCTTCTCTGGGGGCTGCAGGCCTGGCGGAGCCACGTTATATGCTCGAGAAGTAACACAAACAGAATTCAAATCATTTGACATGTTACATACCCCCAAATGAGACTCAGACAGCGAGTACTGGTGAAATGCCGGACGGCCTTTATTGAAAGAGTTTTTACCACCCCGACCTCCTCTACCGTAGGGAGGCCGTCGATGGGTGTGTTGGTCCCGCGAACCTCCCGTGTGCCTGTCTGGGCCCGGGGGTCTCGCCGCTGGGGAACGATGGACCACGGAGCGTGGATATGGTCCGGGGCGCTTGCCAGGCGAGCGCTCCCTGCCTCTGTCTCGGCTCCGCGCTGGTGGGCGGGCCTCGCGTCTCGTAGCTAGGTGTTTTGCCAGGCTAGCCGAGTCCTTAGCCGCGCTGTCCAGCCTCGTCATCAGCGTCTGCATCTCCGGACCGAAGAGCGACGTCTGGGAGATGGGCAGGTCCAGCAGCTGCCTCTTCTCCGCCTCTCTGAGGTTCACCGCCCCCAGCCAGAGGTGTCTGGCCCCGACCTGGGCTGCTGCCATAGAGCGGCCGCCATCGACAGCTAGCGCTTGGCACATGCGCAAGATCGCTGCTGAAGTGGTCCTCGCCTGGGCTAAGGTGTCTCCACTGAGTGCCTGGTCAGAGGAGAGAGACCTATCCAGGGCCCCGGTGATGAAAGCCATGTTGTTCGCCACCGCGACGACCTGAGCCGCATTGGCGTAACATCTGTCATGCATAGCCAGAGACATCCTATCCCGCTCGGAGGGAAGGAGAGGTCTGGTGCTGGGCCACACGGATGAGGAAGGGTGCAGGGCCGCCCGAACCGAGTCCTCGATGTCCGGGACCCCGCCTGTCCAGGACCAGTCCTGCACGTTGCAGTACATGCCATACCCCAAAGCGGGCCTCTTGGCCGCTAGGGGTTTTGGCCACTCACGTGTCGCGTAATGGACGATCGGGTCCATACGCGGGCACAACGTGGGCTGGGCTCTCCTCCTCCCTCGAGGGGCTGCGTACCCAGAGGTGAAGTCCTCCACCCTCTGGTTCGGTTGCGGTGGCAGGGGGGCATCCATGATGGCCGCCGCCGTGGCGTAGAGCCCAGGCATGTGGTCCAGCGGGAAGCGGTCCGGCTCCGGGTTGGACACCACCTCGTCCAGCGTGAGGAGAGAGCCGACCTCCGACACCTCTCCGTCCTCGCAGTCACCCCACTCCGCGGGCACAGGTGGAATGTCGAGGGGGGCCCAGTCAATCTCAGACTCCTCGTCCTTAGAGGAGTCCGGACGGGGCGCTGAAGCGGCGAAGAACGCGCGCCTGCGTTCACTCTCCTCCCTGGGGAGAGCGACACACGAGGCGCAGGTGGCGCTCAACGCCGCATGGCCCGCACCCAGGCACATGAAGCAGCTGGAGTGCTGGTCCTTGCGTTGGAGCTTGCCCCGACAGGTCGAGCAACGACGACGTCCGACGCCGGATGGCGAAGGGGAACTCGGACGTGCATCAGAAGACATCTTTCTTTCTCAGGTAACGAATTGTTACAGGGATGAGAATGGGACATGCATAATCTCAGCCAATGGCTGCCATTAAAGCTCTTTGATTTGTTCACAACATTTTACTTTTGGGCACAACCAACATGAACTGTCGATGCTAGGAAAAATGTAGGTACCCCAACTTCAATTTGGTTTAGTTGCGCTTCAGGAGGAGACTGAGGCTCCATAGTCCAGCTGTGTTTCTTGCAGCGGTGTATTTATTGCATACACAGGTAACACAAGGACACGCACACAAGCAGAGAATGGTTCTGTGTACGTCTATGGTCCTGGGAACATTATGACCACGTTATAAGATAAGATGTGCTTTATTTTATCTCACATATGGATGCGCGCTCGCCACGTTGTTGTCGAAGCGGCTCACAGGAGGCTGGAAGATCTCAGGTCAGAAGATCTGGATTTGACAAGTCAAATGTTTACCTCAGAAAACCCATATCATTCTATAAGACAAACTTGTTAAGATAAATTTGAAACATGAGTTTGAACTTTAAACGTGTATTCATGAAATATAGTTGTATTATCTGTGTTCAGAGTGAGCAGAGCACCCTTCATACTCTCATACTGTACACTGCCATTGAAACCGCTCTGGAGGAAGTGATAACACAATGGAGACACAATCATGCCGCTGCACATGCTCCAATCGCCTTTGGGACAGAACCGAAGCGAGGAACATGATGTGTATCCAGCTACATTCCAATCAGTCCATCCGTCGAGCTTCCCACCGGCTCGAAACACAGACAATCCCCTTGATTGGACGTACAGCGTGGCTTTCTTTTCACTTGGGATCCAAATCATCATCGGCAATCAAGACTCATTTAGCTCTATACTTAGAGACATTCCTCAACTGTTCTGGGGTCTGCTCTCTGCTTGGGTTCTTCTAAATGTTGTTAAGTTTGATTTATTTTTCAAGGATGGCATTGTGCTTATTGAACCCTTTAGGCACAAACATTCTTTGGATAAATGTAGGCAAGGCAAGGCAAGTTTATTTATATAGCACAATTCATACACAAGGCAATTCAAAGTGCTGAACAAATAAAGAAAGCATTAAAATCATTAATAATCACAGAACATTAAAAAGAAAGATAATAAAAATATAAAATCCCTCAGTTGTATGCACAGTTGAACAGAAATGTCTTTAACCTGGTTTTAAACATTGTCATTGAGGAGGCCTGTCTCACATTTTCAGGAAGATTGTTCCAGATTTTAGCAGCATGAATCTGAAAAGCAGCCTCCCCATGTTTAGTTCTGACTCTGGGCACTAACAGGAGTCCAGTCCCTGTGCTCCTCAGAGTCCGGGCTGGTTCATATGGGACTAACATGTCACTAATATATTTTGGTGCGAGGCCATGGAGAGACTTGTACACAAGCAGAGCTGTTTTAAAGTCTATTCTCTGAGCCACAGGAAGCCAGTGCAGAGACCTGAGAACTGGACTAATGTGGTCGTACTTCCTGGTTCTAGTCAGATGTATTGTTAGATAGGCAAAAGGTGGAACCCTGTAATTTAGTGGAGATATAGTGGACTACTTTAACTTATATATTTGTTTGCCTTTTAACTGTTTGTACATTTCTTTTTACACATCCTGAGTAAATACATACACAAGGCACCTCAAAGTGCTGAACAGAACCAGGTACAAACACACAAGGCATTCAATGTAAATTAATTGAAACATGTGCATTTCTCAAATAAATAAAAATGTATCTCTTAATGACAGAAATACATGGTGGGAGACGTTTGTGGGAGGCCACGTTACTGTATAGAAAGTGTCCTGGTTTTAAGAGCTGTTGTAGCTTTTACTTTGGTGCTTAGAAAATGGCAAATAAGGTATTTCTCGTCACATTTCTCTTCTCTCTTGTTGCAGTTCCGCACATTTGACCCGTGCAAACAGCTCTGGTGCAGTCACCCAGACAACCCGTACTTCTGTAAGACCAAGAAGGGCCCGCCGCTGGACGGTACCGAGTGTGCACCAGGAAAAGTCAGTTCAAACCCGGGCTATGATAAAGTTGTATTGTAGCTGTCCTGTAAAGTTGTGTTATCGCTGACGACCTCTGTCTGTCTGCTCCTCAGTGGTGCTACAAAGGACACTGCATGTGGAAGAATCCCAACCAGGTGAAGCAGGACGGGGCCTGGGCCTCGTGGGGCAGGTACGGCTCCTGCTCGCGCTCCTGTGGGACTGGAGTGAGATTTAGGACACGACAATGCAACAACCCAGCGTGAGTCACACACACACACACATACACGTTTTTGTTACCTGGTGGGTCCCTAAGACAAGGCCGTTCCATATGGGACCCACAGACATGGTTTTAACTCCTAAAATCTTGCTTCATTTTTTGCCAATACTGGGGTCACTTTAGAATAACTCTGCACTGATTTTTTTTACTGGGACATACACACACATGCATACGTACACACACACACACACACATATGAATACACATGCACAAGTTCAGGCACACATTCACATACTGTATATTTACACGCACAGATACACACACACATATTTACTCACCCGCAGACACACACACACACAAACGGACACATGCACAAACATATACATACTGTATACTCACACGCACACACACATACTCACACGCAAGCACACACACACACATATTTACTCACCCGCAGACACACACACACATATTTACTCACCCGCAGACACACACACACAGACACATGCACAGACACATACATACTGTATACTCACACACACACACATACATACTCACCCGCAGACACACACACACACACGGACACATGCACAGACACATACACAGATATATACTCATACGCACACACACACACAGAGTGAATCATGTATGAGCGTTGGGCCTCAGGAGACAGGACATTAGACTGCAGAAGAGAAACACTTCTGTTTTATCTTGTATTTGTTCAACAATCATTGACTCTGATATGGAGAAAACAACTTAATGACCTGCCATAGACACCGGACTCCAGGAACCACAAACAAATATTACTTTGGAAAGAAAATCGCTCTCTGGAGTTTCCCTGAATGAATGTAAGAAATAAGTCCATCTTTCATCATCAGTTAATTTCATACAAAAATCGGGCTGTTTGAAATAATAAATGATTTTATTTTTTATTTTTTTAATAATTGTCATTGCAGTTGTGTAACTGTAATACACATACAGGACTACAGTATTGCACATTGTTACTGCTGTTCATTGTGCAATCTGACAACAGCAGGAGGGAGAGACCTGCAGATATATAAATGTATCAATTCTGCTCGAGTTCATACCTAAAATTGTTCAAAACCGAATCAATAATAATAAAAGTTACCATAATAACCAGGGAAGATTCTTCTTTTTCCCCCCACCACAATGTTAAAATATAGGCTCTCTGAAATGATGTCACATGAACGCAACCCACAGCAAGCAATATGTGCTAAGAAAATGCAAAAGTTTTATTTATGATGCTTCTGGGGTGGATGTAAGCATCATTGTTGCCTTCTCTGAGATATATTTCAACGGCAGACTTCCTGGTTGTTTACGCCCTAGTTCCTGGCTCTGGGATGAGTTGCTTGGTCATGACATCAGAATGTGCATCTCGCTCTAGGCCTTCGAACGGTGGCCAAGATTGCCCAGGACTCAACTTTGAATACCAGCTCTGTCACACCGAGGACTGCCCCAAGCACTTTGAAGACTTCCGCGCTCAGCAGTGCCAGTTGCGCAACTCTCATTTTGAATTTCAAAATGCCAAACACCACTGGCTCCCCCACGAACATCCGGACGGTAAGATCAGAAACGTACATCTTGGTGGGATCTGTTTAGGAAGTTTTATCATAATTTGTCGTTTGTTTGTGTTCTTTACAACTTGTGTTCTGTCTTTTGAAATTTCATCCAAATGTTGTCATGGACGCCAGAAAATTCAGTTTGTTTTGTATAGCCCTAAATCACGACAGCAGTTTTCCCTGAGGACTTTACAAAGCCGTCGATTCGCCAACACAGATCACAGAATCAAACAAGTCAAACACAGGAAATGCAACGATAAAAAACCTATTGAGCCATTGGTCCATAACGGACTGATGACCAATGTCCATAAATGACAATTAGATCAATTTAAACGTTTTTATAACAACAGCCAAAAACCAAAGTAATGAACTAGAAGGTTAATACACAATAAGGTCATCTTTAAAAGAGATCCACTTTTATGAGCAGACTGAAGAGAAACAAGCAGATGAAGTTTGTTCAATTTGTTCTCTCAGGAGAGACGCACAGGGAGAGGGAGGGAATCTGAATCAAAATCAGATTCATTTATTAATGACCACACAACAAGTTGGTGGAATATGTTTCTGGTACAGCAGGAATGCTCAGCTCAACTGTGCTACATACAAAGACGGCTGAGCAAACGGCTCAGACCTGGAACAGTAACAGTACCAAAATGCATGGAAGTCCACACGTATACTGTACATTTATACAAGTCTAGTTATTTTAATCCACTCACTTGAATATGCCACTGACCATGGAAGGAACAGAGACTGAGTGCTGGCATTTGGTTTTTACTCCACACTCCCTGGCCTGAAATCTAGAGCCAAATCTCTCATGAAGGCCAAAGGGCAATCAAGAACAAGTGTGGTCTGAAGACATCTCATTGGTCAGTTATCATGCGTCATAAAAAGTGTAACCCAAAATAGTGCATGTGACAAGAACTATTAGGTTTCAGGAAGCTAGTGGGTTAGTTCTGTTCATTCCTTTTACACAGTCTATGGGCTACAGCTCCGGACCAGCTGTGCTTTTTGTCCATAACCGTCTGTGGGAGTGGATCCCTGCTCAGTGTGCTTCTTAACATAAATCTGGATTTTTCCCTCAGTGGGGGAATTTCAATGTCATCGTTGCACTCATTACAGCGGAATAAAAGATGTGGAAAGAGAAAATAAGAACTCTCAACAGGATTGATCAGTTAAGATAATATATAATTAAGCTCTGGAGCTATAAATGCACTTGGTTCAGTCACTTGGTTGGTAGTGTATTTAATCAGCAGAGAATATGACCAGAATAAACAATAGTAATAGTAGCAGCAGGTGAAGTGACTAGTGCATTATAAGAGCAGAGTTTTTACATAAATGAAATATTCCAATAATGTAGAAGTAGCCAAGATTATCATTTTTTTGATGTTTTTCCTGAATGTGATAATCAATTACTTTTCAAATCGTGAAGAGAGAGTGAAACGTTGCTTACCTACACACATGGTAAGCAATGGTGCTCACCTAAACACAGCTTCCTGATTGGACAAAAGGAATTTAAATCCTTGCAGCCGCTCGTCACTCATTGATCTATTCTCCTCCAGAATTCTTTTCTGGTTTTCTAGAGGAAGTCTAGAAAACCAGACCATTTAGAAAAGGATACTGTTGAGAAATACTTTGTTCCCATGACGGTACAGTTTCCCATTGTCACAAAACATGAAATACAACTGAACTTACTGACGTGATCTTTAAACAAAAAGTCTAAGAACGGGGGACCACGGTGGCTTTTTTCCATTTTCCATTGGTTCATCTCTTTGTATTTATGGATCAATCTATTTCTGATCTGTTTTGATTCAAATTGTGTCATTGTTTTATCTGTTGGCAAATCAACAATTCCCTGACACCCTTCTAAATGACTGCTGTTGGGATTTTGGGCAATATAAAAAGACTATGATTTGAAATAGGCAATTTTTCCCGTATTTTTTAAGTCCATGTAAGTGCTAAATAAATTAGTCCTTCCATATTCTTCCCCTTAATCCATTTCTGGGTCGGGAGGGTGGCAGTCGGAGCGGCACCCAATTCCCAGAGCGCCAGCCCCTCACTGATCCTCCTGCAGGTGGTGAGTCCACAGGAGCTGAGATCTTTCAGTGGGGGCTTAGGGCAAAGTGGGGTTAAGTGTCTTGCCCAAGGACACAACGACAGCAGACATCAGTTGGAGTCATGAGGTCTTGAGGTGGGCTTGAACCCACGACCTTCAGGCCCTAAGGCCATTGCTCTACCAACTGAGCCACTGTTGCCCCCTGAATCAATTAGCTGAGCTCATAAAGTCCCCCGACCACTAAACATACCCACGTATTTGTGACTATTCCCAAAGAACCAAACAGAGCATGTTTCTAATGTAATACATTTAATGCATTATTCAATGTCGGTGTTGAAAACCTTTGAATTGAATAGTGCATGAACTTTAATTTAGTCCTGACACCCATGGATATCGCCTGCTGTGGGGAACTGAGGCTGAGGGTCCCGAAGTGCAGTACTGAATGTGTTGGTGGACTACTATTACTAATAATTAAAATAATTTTTATTTCTTCGGCGCCTTTCTAGACACTCAAGCTTGCCTTATGTCACAAGCAAAAAGGACATTTAGTTAAACTACAGGTTAAAGTACAGTTAAAAGCAGCATGAACAGAGGTTTGTGAATGTTATTTGCTTGGATTTTTGTTCTTTTTTTTGTCTGTCAATGTAAAATGCTTGTTTTGTCCTGCTGTCTTAGGACCCCCCAGAAAAAGAGATGGTTTTACTCAAGGGGCTAACCTTAAGAATTAGATAAATAAATGAAATGAATACACTAACCATCAGTGGAAAATCTCATAACATATGTATTTGCATTCAAATTCATTCATACATAATACAGTGCTCTCCGTAGGTATGGGCTCCAAACCCACTCTAATGACTGAACATTTCTGTACTGCATTGCTGCATCTTTAACTTTTCATTACTGGAAAAAAAAAAAATAACAGACATAAATTAATCATTTTAAAGCATACCATAATTTACACATGGCTTCCTGTTGCATGATTTTCCATTATTTCTTCCTTCAAGCCAATAAGAGATGTCACCTATACTGCCTGTCGAAGGAGACTGGGGACGTGGCGTACATGAAGCAGCTGGTGCATGATGGGACGCGGTGTTCGTACAAAGATGCCTACAGTGTGTGCGTACGTGGGGAATGTGTGGTAAGAACTGTGCTCATGTGTGTTTCTCTCACGTGGCTATTTTTACATGTGTCTGTTTATTAGATGGAACAGGTTCTTTTCACACAACATGCCAAGGTCAGATGTGAGCTTTTCAAATGGAAAACAGGGCGGATTTGTCATTCAATGTTTTTAGTCGCAGAACTATCTCACAATGTTGCATCGATTGTGTTGTTTGGTCGATGTTGGTGTGACTGAGGAAAGCAGGGGGCAGGCATACAGTAACATGTGAAATTGACTTTTCTCAGCTTTGACAATTCTATTATTGCGATACCTTTTCCTTTACACACTCAACATGTTGTTTTACTTCCAATTTCTTTGTCTTCACACCTGAGAAGCCGTTGCTCTCCTGTGGCTCCTCTGCCTCCCGACACTCTCACCGCTTTCAATCACAGAGGAAATTCAAGACATAGAAATATTAGTTTAAAAGTTCATTTGAAGTCTTATTATGATATAGACTCATTACATGCACAGTGAGATATTCCAAGCTTTTGTTATTGATTTATGTTATACTGAAATTTCCTTTGGGATCAATAAAGTTTATCTTATCTAATAAAGCTGAAAGTCCCATTTAAAAAAAAGAATCTAAACAGGTTTTCTTTGGGGTTTGAGCTAATTATCAACTTTACAACGACAAAGGCTTAATACAGTATATCTCACTTTGTGCATCCGTCAAAATACTTTAGTAGGAGCTCATTCAGTCACACAAAAGGAGCTCAGAGTAGAGCCGCTGCTTCTCCATGTCAAGAGGAGCGAGTTGAGAACCAGCAGGAGGCCAGTCCCTGTGCTCCTCAGAGTCCCATCAGGAGGCCAGTCCTTGTAGTCCTCAGAGTCCCACCAGGAGGCCAGTCCCTGTGCTCCTCAGAGTCCCAGCAGGAGGCCAGTCCCTGTGCTCCTCAGAGTCCCAGCAGGAGGCCAGTCCCTGTGCTCCTCAAAGTCCTTGTTGTTTCATTCGGCACTAACATGTCATAGATGAACTTTGGTGCGAGACTTGTGCACAAAAATAGATAAATTAAAATAAATCTTGGTCATGATTAAATGTAAGTAAAGCATAATCATGACAACACCCTGAATACCGCTCATGGTAAACTACTCGAGCAGGTAAAAGCCGAGGGAAAGCTATTATGATAATGGTTACACACTTATGAAAAAAAAGAATGGTTTGGATTAATTGTAACCAACCCATCACATTACTGTATTTATTTAACTTCCATCAAACCGTAATGGAAGTAATTATGTTCCCTCCTCAATCACCAGAATAAAATTGGACTCCAGGATTTCATTTCTTCAGCCCATCTGCAGTGTCACATCAGCAGAGGCCTTTAATGCATAATTTACACCTATAGGCGTCACTCACAAAACAGCCAGCGTCAACACACAACACATCCTAGTTTTTCTATTTTGCAAATATTGTACGATGCAATCATGCTGGACTGGTGCGTCTAAATTAAAAACTGGCATCTGAAGCGACACACTAAACAACTTATTATTATGGTTATGGCTTCTTCCCATTTCAGAAAAACGCACACGGCTGACTGCCCAGTAGAAAGTTATGAGAGTGTGTTTTTTTCTTGTTTGTAGAAAGTCGGCTGCGACAGAGAGATTGGCTCCAACAAGTTAGAAGACAAGTGTGGGGTGTGTGGCGGGGACAACTCGCACTGTCGCACGGTTAAAGGCACTTTCACCAGAACTCCAAAGAAAGCAGGTACAAGCTGTGACTTTACTTTATATTTTTAGGATTTCTCTAAATAATGCTGTTTATTGTTTGTGTGAAATGGCGTTAAAGGTACTCTGTGTAATTTTTACAGTTGATCCAAATGAAAAAACCAATACCAAATGTAACCTTTTTAACACTATTTACCGCCACCATGTTATTGAATTGCTGTCATAGACTTAGAATTTGACCTATAAATGTCCAAGAGGCTGTCAATCCTCCATCTTACAATACAATACAATACAATTTATTCTTGTATAGCCCTAGGTCACAACAGAAGTCATCTCAGAGGACTTAACAAAACCATTGAAATCACCAACACAGGTCAGAGAATCCTCTGCAGAGGTTCCCACCTCTGCACCTTCTCCACCAACTCCCACTGATGACTGCTGTCGTTGTGTCCTTGGGCAAGACACTTAACCCCACTTTGCCCAAAAAGCTCCCACTGAAAGATCAAGGCTATGCTCACACTCAGAGAGCAGCCGTCCTCCTGTGGACTCACCACCTGCAGAGGATCAGTGAGGGGCTGGTGCTATGAGACTTGGGTGGCATCTCTGATTGCCACCCCCCTGACCCAGAAATGGATTAAAGGGTAGAAAATGGATGGATGGATGGAAGGTCAGAGAATCAACAGTTAAAACACATGAAGAATATAAAGCACACACAGAAGAAAATGTCCATACATGTTGTAGAATGCTAAAGTGTCCTGATCATCACCAATCCTTTCTGTTGGACACTAACTGTCCAACAAGACCCTCCTGCATCGACAAGGAAAAACTCTTAAAAAACCCAGTGGGAAAAAGTGAGAAACCTTGGAGGAGAACTAGGGAAACCCACAGGGAGGGAGACCCATATGAGAAAGGGATCCGCTCCTCCGGACGGACAGGCTAATGATCTAGGACCTAAGCTAGCTACAGAACGTGGACCAGTGGACGCTGAACGTGGACAGGTCCGGTGCAGGACTGAAGCACTCCCAGGCGGGTCGGGCGGGGCAGTCCGCAGGTGTAGATGGAAGAGGCCAGGCTCAGAGATCCCGTCATCGTACCATGAAACAGACAATGGGACAACGGGTGAATAGCAATGAACAAACTACAGTCAGAATCCTAATAATGCTAAACAGATAAAGTAGGAAGGAGGAGAGGATAGTGCTCAAGTTACCATACTTCTCCCAGCAAACTGACTCCCTATGCAGCTTGACTAACACTCTGAGGAGTTTAACCTTCTCCGAGTCTTACATCTTGAAATACAGTGGTTGATAAGGGACAAAAAGAAGCTTGACCGGGAGTTGGGGACCACTGTCAAAGACTACTTATTGTCCCTGCAAAGCTACCGTAGTACCGAAAATTACAATATTTGATCTCAATACTAGATGGGAGTAAAAACTACACAGTGTACCTTTAAATGTTTTCAATGTTGTTTTAATCCTGAATCTAGTGTCTCTCTGTCTCTGTCGAGATCTTTTAAATCATTCAGATTTAATAGGTTGCGTTCTATGTTGTAGAATTCTATTTCAGTTGAAGGGAAGGGGCCAATTCAACAACAACAAAAAATTAAGAAAATGCTAGTCTCTTTTTTACAAAACATGACTTGACAGTGATTTTTTTCTGAAACTTGTCATAGTTTTCTCATTCCTAAAAGTCTTATCTCCTGGCCAATATCCTGAATATTAGTTTTTGGGAATATTGTCACCACTTTCTAGACACAATTATGAAAAAATAATTTTGTAGTTGTTTTGTGCTGATAAAGAAGATGTAGAAGTATGTGTTTTTGTTTCATGTGGATTTGATTTACAGAAAAAGTATCCCTAAATTAAGATTTTTGATACTTTTAGTTAACAGCAAAGATTGTTCTGCTCTCTTCTACCTCAATGTTAAACTATAGGCTTTTTGGGATGTTGTGATGTCACATGAATCTTGCATTGTATCTCCCCTTTTTGTCTAATTATACAAAAATAGTTGGCTAATGAATGGAACAAAAAAATGTAATTTATCAGCCGATTTTGATCCAATTCAACGACTAATTCCGCTTCAGAAATCACACATTCTGGGATGAATCAGGACAAGTTTAAATTCCAAACTCATAAAAATGTCCATAGAAAGTTCACTGGGATTATATGCATTTTGCCTGGAGCCCGCTCTGTATTTACAACCCAGAAGGTTGGCACACTTTAGAGTCAAATCTTTCTCTGTACAGTGTTTATTCCAACTTATAATCAGAGTAAATACCAGATACCAGATCCATAGGGCCCCAGCTTGTCAAAGTGTTCAGCCACTTTGATTTATAATATACATTTGTAGCATTTTAGATAGGTTTGATTTTTAAGATGCATTTATACCCATTTACTTAGCTTTGATTTTTGGTAACACACACACAAAGGCAAACACATACTTTTCCATGAGATGTTTTTGTAAATAATTGTTTTGGCCTTGTTCGGGAAAAGTACCTAAAAAGTGTGCGTTCCACTTTCAGAATCCCTCATTAGTCGTTTTATATTCAAAGCTAACACAAAGTTTGCAAATTATCCCAAGTCATAATTGATCTTTTCTCTATCTACCTCCGTGTCTGGCCTTCGTGGTTCCGTCTTTGGTGGCTCACACAATAGAAAATGCCTCTCCCATAATGCCTTCTGTATTTTTAAAAAGGTTTCTAGTTTTGATTAAACAGAAATGGTTTGCAAAGAATGTGGTTCATGCTTTTTCCAAATACAAAACGTACCTCATTAGTGTGTTTTATCATTTGAACCAGAGATCGTACTTTCACAAAGAGCTAGGGAAGTCAAGGTTTTGCACATCCTATAGAGTTTTGTTATTTTTAAAGGTAATGGCAATCTCAGGTTTTTCTGAGGACAATTCACATTTCAACTTTTTATTCAATCAGTTTTGGGCTTAAGAATTTAGCCCAGTATGAACTTTAGGAAATGAATATAACAAATCCGATTTTCACATCTTTTGACCTTGTTATAGTACTTTTTCCTTTGTCATTTAAAGACACACATTTGTATTTTGGTTATTTATTTAGTTTTGGCCGATCAATGGGAGACTTCACCTGTCAATTTCACTAGGATAGTCCCACTAAGTGTGTTTTCAAAGCCCTACTTCCTATTAAATTTGATCAATAAAGACTTAACCTAACTCAACCTCAACAAACACTTTCGGTCTGTAGAATAGTCAAATTTAGTTTTTGACTAATTTGACTTGTTGACTAATGACCAAATAAATGACTAGACAAAACGTATTTTTTAACTTTAGAAAGACCTGAAAACTTGAGCTTGAGTTGTTTTGCAAAGAGTGATTATAAACTGTTGGTGAAATCCCTAAAAAGACTAGATTTGCAAAGACAAATGGGCAGAAATGTGTCTCTACATGTGCAAATCTGGACATAGATAGAAAGGTAGAAAGGTATATAGATGGATACTGTAGATACAGTAGATAGATAGATAGATAGATAGATTACGTATTATTAGAGTTAATACGCAGAAACGAAGTTTCCTATCATAACTATGCAGACGACACTCAGATCTATGTCTCACTGACTGCAGGAGAACATGGACCAGTGGACTCACTCCTTCACTGTATCCAACAGATCAGTGAGTGGATGCAAAACAACTTCCTTCAGCTAAACGCAGACAAAACTGAAATGATTGTCTTTGGTCCCCAGAAACAAAGAGAGAGCGTCATCTGTCACCTACAGTCTCTCTCCCTAAAACCTTCAAACAAGGTCAGAAATCTAGGGGTAATACTGGACTCAGACTTAAATTTTAATAGCCACATCAAATCAGTAACATCAGCAGCTTTTTACCATCTAAAAAACATTGCCAGGATCAAAAACATAGTGTCTAAAGCAGACTTGGAGATTCTTATCCATGCATTTGTCTCCAGTAGGTTAGACTACTGCAATGGCCTGCTCACAGGTCTGTCCAAACAGGCTGTAAAACAGCTGCAGTACATTCAAAATGCAGCAGCCCGAGTCCTGACTAGAACCAGGAAGTACGACTACATTAGTCCAGTCCTCAGGTCTCTGCACTGGCTTCCTGTGGCTCAGAGAATAGACTTTAAAACAGCTCTGCTTGTGTATAAGTCTCTCCATGGCCTCGCACCAAAATATATTAGTCACATGTTAGCCCGGAACCAGCCCGGAACCAGCCCGGACTCTGAGGAGCACAGGGACTGGACTCCTGTTAGTGCCCAGAGTCAGAACTAAACATGGGGAGGCAGCTTTTCAGATTCATGCTGCTAAAATCTGGAACAATCTTCCTTAGGATGTGAGACAGGCCTCCTCTCTGACAATGTTTAAAACCAGGTTTAAAACAGTTCTGTTTAGCTGTGCATACAACTGAGGGATTTTATATTTTTATCTTTCTTTTTAATGTTCTGTGATTATTTATGATTTTAATGCTTTCTTGTTTTGTTCAGCACTTTGAGTTGCCTTGTGTATGAATTGTGCTATACAAATAAACTTGCTTTGGCTTGCCTTGTCTTAGATAGATAGATACAGTAGATAAATAGATAGATAGATAGATAAAGTAGATTGATGCAGTAGATAGATAGATAGATAGATAGATAGATAGCTACAGTAGATAGATAGATACAGTAGATAGATAGATAGATACAGTAGATAGATATAGATACAGTAGATAGATAGATAGATACAGTAGATAGATATAGATACAGTAGATAGATAGATAGATACAGATACAGTAGATAGATAGATAGATACAGTGGATAGATAGATAGATACAATAGATACATAGATAGATACAGTAGATAGATAGATAGATACAGATACAGTAGATAGATAGATAGATACAGTGGATAGATAGATACAATAGATACATAGATAGATACAAAGCAAAGGACGGTTTCTCACCCGTCATCTGTACTTCTTAGCAAGTTTTCCCGACGTTTCGTCCTCAACCTAGCGGACCTATGGCTGTGGTAAGCCACTTACCACACCCATAGGTTATAAATCTCCAACGCGCGGTCCGAGAATTC